GTATGAATCATTTGCTGAAAAACTGACTTTGAAAAATAAATCTGTTCTTTTTGTCTTATAAAAGCTTAAATAAAACAAAATATCGGTGGTAATGTCTGACTGTAACGTCACAAACAGCAGCACGTACCTGTTGCTGCAGGTGAGCGGTTGTTSTCGAGGAGCCTCCTCTGGTGTGTCCACAGCTGGAACAAAGGTCTGGTGTTTTGTTTCTGCTGCAGTAACTAACAGGTGTCTGTTAAAGCATCGGCTCATCTCACATGCAGGTGAGTCTGCCTTCAGGTGGGAGGTGGWCCTGCTGGTGACCTGGTGCAGCAGCAACAACCTGGAGCTGAGCACCCAGAAACCAGTGGACATGATGGTGGAGTTCAGGAAGACCACAGCCCCTCTGCCTCGGCCCCCCATCACCCTGCGGCCCGTTCAGACCACCCCCCTCAGACAATAAAACASTTTGTTAAATGTTTGATTAGTTTAACGTCAGAAGGTTTGTGACCCGCAGGTGTTTGTGTGTCTGCAGCAGCGTCTATAAAACACTGAAATGTTTACTGTTCACACAAATGAAGCAAATCACACAACATGACTAAAGTAATCCCACAACTGACACAATCAGAACGTCACAAACATTCAACAAAAAGGACACGATTAGTGTCTCTTTCACCCACTTCTTAAATTTCTAACCTTTAAAATTATTACATTTTACAGATTATAAGAACTGGGTCAAACTTTTAACGTGCAGTCATTTAAAAATACATTTCTACTGCGGTTTATTCCTAAATTAGAGCGAAAACAAAGGTTTTTATGCAGCTTCGCCTCTTTAAGGCTCTGAGTAATGTAAGTGATGAATGTTGTGTTTGCACCATATTCTGTGAATAAATGAGAAAAACACTTCTTCCTTTTTWAGCAGACACACTCAACCTGAAATCAGACACTCTTACCTCATCGACAACTCATTAGTTGCAACACAACATTTATTTGTTGTAAAAGAAAGCTAATAAAAGCACACTGTTGTGACATGTGAGTGAAGTTAGGTTTTTATCGTTCTCTAACTGTTTATGTGAATCAGTCGTTTGATAAAAAACAAAGAAAAGACAACCTCGGAAAGAGGACAAACTGTTCGTGTTGAGTGTTTTGGTTGGCCAACACGTGTTGCCAAATTTCATTTTAGGGAACAAACAGCAGCACGAGCCAGTTACTGAGAATACACGCTGTTAAAATCACTTTTAAAGTTTATTCAAAGGAACAAAAAGAAAGAAAATACACGACTTCCTGTCACACAGAGAGGACATAAGTTAGAGAAGCATGGCAGAAACAGAGGAGCAACATGTGTTCCCACGGTCGAATACCTGAACTGAACAACAGGTGTGTTCTTTATTCTGCTGTACGTAGTGCGCTGTAGGGCAGGTGACCAAAAGATTTAATAAATATTCAATAAAAACCAGGCTCAAGAAGCAGAAACAGAGAATAAGATGAACATAAATATGGTGATGCACATTAGTGTAACAAAACATGGCGTCTGTAAACAGTTTTTCCACCTAAGGTGAGTGTAATAATATCAAAGCACCGCAGCCACAGGTTTACTTCTACACTGATTTAAGGAAACAACAAAAAATCTATTGTTAAGCTTCTCAACTAGCTCTAAAACTTAAGAATACACAATGCTTCAAGTTATAATTACTTTGTTTTCCTTAAAAAAAGAAGTGGTTCTCATAACAATAGGTTTAAATGCTGCCCTGTTGGCACTTGTTCCAACTCACAGCCTGCAGGTGGCTGAGTTTATTCCACAAGAACTCACCTTTAATTAACCCAATAATAAGAATATGGATCTAAACCATCATTTAGTGGTCAGTCAGTCACTGCAGCCCCTCAGCAAGGCTGTGATGTCATCAGAGACACACGGTGGATCCTACTGCACCCTCAGACCTCAGACCTCCGACCTCAGACCCTCAGACCTCAGACCTCCGACCTCAGACCTCAGACCCTCAGACCTCAGACCTCCGACCTCAGACCCTCAGACCTCAGACCTCCGACCTCCGACCCTCAGACCTCAGACCTCCGACCTCAGACCCTCCGACCTCAGACCTCCGACCTCAGACCTCCGACCTCAGACCTCCGACCTGAGACCTCCGACCTCAGACCTCCGACCTGAGACCTCAGACCTCCGACCTCAGACCTCCGACATCAGCTTCTTCATACGTGTGAAGACACAGAAACTGAGTGACTTCAGGTTAACATCATGGGCTTGTTTATGAGGGGGCACCTTTTGTTTTGAGGGGGGCACCTTTTGTTTTGAGGGGGGCACCTTTTGTTTTGAGGGGGGCACCTTTTGTTTTGAGGGGGGCACCTTTTGTTTTGAGGGGGGCACC